GCTCAATTCCACTTTCTGTGACCGACTGATATCCATGGGGTGTTGGGAACTTCAAGCGCTGACTTTTCCGAGGATTTGGCTTTTCAACAAAATATTCATTTGCTGTTGCACATCTATGTCTCATACTCATATCGCAGCGTCGCATATATGAAAAAAAACTTAAGACTTCGATCTTGAAAGGCACGAGTTCAGGATTAGGCAACCAGCAGAAGTTCATTCACAGGGTGCGATAGTGGGCTCCCCAAGCACTAGGGCGCGACACTATCGCGACCCAAAAGTGCGCGGCAATGGCGCTAAGGCCTTGCCCGCCGCGCTGCCCGCGCTGCCAGCGTAATCCACACGGCATACGTGGTCTCTGCGTCCTCTCGCGTACGACGTACTATCTCGCGTTCTCCCTCTCCTCGCAGCGCTGTGTCTCTCCGTCGTACTACGGCCGGCCTCCTAAGGGAAATTTAGTGTTTTCTATGGTGCTTTTTGCTTTTTCTCCTCACTAATGTTCCTCATTGCACCCCTTGTCCTAATGTTTGAACAAAATAACGCATCAATTCAATCCTGACTCGTGCCTTTAAATAGTCTTGAAGTAGCCAAAATGGACCTCCACTTGGCCTCAAATGAAACAGAACACTCCATGCAAGATTTAATGAAAAATTATGCACGTCGTATCTGACGCTACCAAATGTGGTTTTAGACACCACCTGGTCCCTTATTTCCCATTTCAACTTACTTTGAAAAATTCAATTCCTGCATCCCTTTTTTATGGCCCTTTCACTCTTATTAAATTACAGCTTTTGCTTATATTGACCACATATATACCTTCAGATATGGCCAACAGACAAACGAGAGAAAATAGTGGTTTTAGTGAAAATATAGAGTAAATGTATTTTATGCAGCGCTGCGGCATCACCCGCGATGAACCCAAAAGGCGTCGCGATCGCAACCCCGCTCCGCCATGTGCCTGGTCGGAAAGGGTTAAATGAAGAACCTGCTACCTGATCCCACCAATAAAGTTGTCGACCAAACGAGAGACAGGCGCTAAATCAAATTATCCATTTAAAACTTCTTTGCTTCAAAGCTGGTGGGACGTGCCCCAGCTCGCGGGAATATACGCTGGCCATAAATTTATTTCATTCAAGCGGTAACGAGAACAGCTGTCGACTTGAACACCACTAAGGAGCCTATATATTCGAGCATTGCACGTGGGCATCCTATCAAAACAGCTTTAGACACAATCAACGTTTTACTGTATCAGACCGCACGCCAAAAGTGCGTTTTTTTTTCAAAGTGATCAATCCAGCAAGCCAATATTGTATTAAATTTGTCCCATAATTGTCCTAAGGCCGATTTTGGTTCAAATTCAACTTTCTTTATGCCAGATCAGCTTCATAACGAAATAAGTCGGTATGTTGAAGAATACATCAGGACCTTTAGCCAGGATGTTTCAGAAGCTGAAATGTGCGGGAGATAATTAAGTAGGAATCAAAATAGATCAACGACCAAACCCAACGATTATGCCTTGCGACAATTTTAAGAAGAACCTTGCAAGGAGCGCGGTAGGCAAGATCAGCGCTACGTTTGCCCCAGTCTTTGCTACTGATCGGGCACTGAGCTATTGGCTCAATAGCATACGCAAAGGCGATAGGAGCTGCAAAGTTCGACCTCATCATGGACCCCAGCATTTTCGATGAGGACCTCGCGCTACGAATAGGAAGTGCATCCGGACGCTATAGCAGGAAACTGAAAAAAAATCTGGGGGCCACCGCGCTCAATGAGTCGAATCCATAACGAAGGGCAGCAGCAGATAAGTTTCAATGGAAACAGCATTGCATCGCTGTGACCATCACGAGATACACGCCCCGCTGAACCCTCTGCAGAAGTTTCATTCTCGGCTTGTGACAGTATAGTAGCGGGTAGCAGTTCCACTTACATACATTTTTGTTCAAAAAATGCGGCGTGCCCACTCCACTTGTATAGCACCAACGTCCGTTTAGGTAGATCCTGAATGCGCAAAGGAACTAATCTTCCGAAGTTCACAAACCAAAAATTACCCTGTTTCACGCTACAGAAAATTTCAGGCTTGACAACTCATTGACGAGCTCAGAGAGAAAGGTTTGTCCTAGATGGGAGCAGAACGAATTATACTTCCTCTTCACCAGTTATTCCACCTGCCTCGAATTTTCCTTCCTCGATATATCGGATCACGTGTGCTGATTGTCACACTGCAATAGATCAAGGTTCATTTCTGCTCCAGATGAGAGGATCTGCTCGAAACAGCTCAAAGTACGCCGGCTCTTTTGCTTGTGGGTGTAACATTCTATGACACGCAGCGTGACGGATTTCGTGCCATCACGCAAGTCGAAACAGATGCCAAAATTTGGCGACGAAAACCCGGGTACAATGCAGGGTTCGGGAGGCGCAAGTAATGTTGGACACTGTATTTCGTAACAATTGCGAAAGTACCCCTTAATTCCACGTTATAAAATCATGGCAGGTCTTTCTATGTATATTTCTGCGCTTTGATAGAGGGTGGATGCCAGCTACTCTTCTTCCGTTGAGACACATGCATCCCCACAGCGAACCCTGGTAAATCTCTCACCAAAGTTCAAATAAAAGCTCCAACACCTGAAGGACAAAGAAGGATAAGGCATAAATTGCCCCAGCATGTCAGAGCGTCCACTCGTGGATATTCTCGCGAATTTTTCCTTCAGTGATCACAACCCTAAAACCCACCCAAGCCCGATTAAAGCTTGACCGCCGCCGTATTCTTCACCTCTTGCCGAAACTTCCCGACCACTTACAATTTCATAACACAGACCCACGACTCTCTTACTCCACCCTGTATAGAAGACATGATAGAATTCGAAATGCAACAAATTACAGATAAAAATTCATTCACCGGTTTCAAATGCATAAAAATAGACATGGCACAATTAACAACTTATTATATGATGCACTTAGTACTGTTCAGGTTTCGTCTCAACATTCTTTCGAGCAGGTTGCTCATTCCTCATAGCATTTCCTTGAGCGGAGTGTCCAGCACTAGCAGCTGGTCGTTGTTCTTGTGAGATTGGCTTCTGAGACATTGGAGCTTGGCGCCCAGTATCTGCAGCTGGCCTCTGGGGTCCTGGAGCCGTTCCTACTTGAGATGTGGGCTTGGAAGACCTTGGAGTCGGACGATCCATCCCAGCGGCTGGTTGCTGAACTTGGGGCATTGGCTTCCGAGCTACTGGAGCCTCACCAGCATGAGCAACTGGCCGTTGTTGTTGCGGAGCTGGAGCCTTCATTTCAGGAGCTGAATATCTGGCATCGCTAGCCGGTGCTGGGTAGCGGGGTTGTCTCTTCGTTCTGCGGTGCAGAATACCCAGCGTCATTAGATGGCTGTTGTGGTAGCGGAGTTGACTCTGGTTTCGGAGCAGGGTATCCGGCGTCAGCAGCTGGCTGTTGCGGCACAGGGCTCGACTTGCCGGTGTGGGGCAGAATCAGCCCAGCGTCATTACGAAGTTATACGAGTGGACTCCTCGAACTGCGGTGCAGAATATCCGGCGTCAGCAGCTGGCTGTTGTGGCATCGGGGTTGACTCCTCGAACTGCGGTGCAGAATATCCGGCGTCAGCAGCTGGCTGTTGTGGCATCGGGGTTGACTCCTCGAACTGCGGTGCAGAATATCCGGCGTCAGCAGCTGGCTGTTGTGGCATCGGGGTTGACTCCTCGAACTGCGGTGCAGAATATCCGGCGTCAGCAGCTGGCTGTTGTGGCATCGGGGTTGACTCCTCGAACTGCGGTGCAGAATATCCGGCGTCAGCAGCTGGCTGTTGTGGCATCGGGGTTGACTCCTCGAACTGCGGTGCAGAATATCCGGCGTCAGCAGCTGGCTGTTGTGGCATCGGGGTTGACTCCTCGAACTGCGGTGCAGAATATCCGGCGTCAGCAGATGGCTGTTGTGGCATCGGGGTTGACTCCTCGAACTGCGGTGCAGAATATCCGGCGTCAGCAGCTGGCTGTTGTGGCATCGGGGTTGACCTCCTCGAACTGCGGTGCAGAATATCCGGCGTCAGCAGCTGGCTGTTGTGGCATCGGGGTTGACTCCTCGAACTGCGGTGCAGAATATCCGGCGTCAGCAGCTGGCTGTTGTGGCATCGGGGTTGACTCCTCGAACTGCGGTGCAGAATATCCGGCGTCAGCAGATGGCTGTTGTGGCATCGGGGTTGACTCCTCGAACTGCGGTGCAGAATATCCGGCGTCAGCAGCTGGCTGTTGTGGCATCGGGGTTGACTCCTCGAACTGCGGTGCAGAATATCCGGCGTCAGCAGCTGGCTGTTGTGGCATCGGGGTTGACTCCTCGAACTGCGGTGCAGAATATCCGGCGTCAGCAGATGGCTGTTGTGGCATCGGGGTTGACTCCTCGAACTGCGGTGCAGAATATCCGGCGTCAGCAGCTGGCTGTTGTGGCATCGGGGTTGACTCTTCGCCCTGTGGTGCAGATATCCGCCTTCAGGCACTTGCTCGTTAGTTTCCGTTGTCGGTTCTGACTGTGCTGTTGAGCATTCTTTCACTTTCGACGATTCAGCACAAGATCGATGCTCTTCAGAGAAGACATAGCCTTCGTCACACGCCAACTGGTAGGCCTGGAAGAACTGAGATTACCCGCGTCGGTCTGTTTCAAGAGATATATGGGTTTACCTTGCCTTCCACACAGTTAGTGAAAATTCTGCTACATCGGCCACTTGCAGACGGTCCCTCGGTTGTACACGTTTCTGAAATACCTGAGCATTAGCTCCTACCATTTGCTCAATTGCACAGCTGCTTTGAACTCACCATGCGCTCCTTGATCGTTAGCCTGCTCTGTAGCAAGGTACGTTTTCGGGGTACTCACATACGCGCTTCTGCTCGTCATAGAGCATATGAGACGGGCACAGCATCGATTTCGCCTCACCACCTCTACAAGCGATCACCTCTGATGAGCATCCATGAGCGTAGAAACCGTCCATCTTGCCCTCACAAAACGCCCTCACTGAAAAACAACCACGCGTCGGTATTTTCCTGCAAACATTTCAAACAATGAATACCTGTTTCAGATACTGCAGTTGTTGACTCGCTCTGCTCATTCTGCGCCGCACCCTGAAACAAAATATTTTAGGACACGCTACTTCGCAACCGCTGTTGGCTGTCCACTTCTTTCATACCTCTGGAGCCTGATATGCTGGATTGGCGGCTGCGTCCTGGCCCAAGTTTCCTGAAATGTCACCTAAAAATTAAGAAAATACCAACAAAACATTCAGAAACCGAGCGATATCTGGCTCACCAGAGGACTCGCCCGACGCTTCGTAACTTGTCGAAGCTTCGTGGGAGAGCCCTCCGGGGGCCTCATCGCCGTAACTGGAGTAGCCTTCATGAGTTCCGGAGGACTCCCACGAGGCTTTCGCAGATCCTTCGACATCATTTTCGCGGGATGGAGCG